TTGTTTGGTACATCTTATCATTAATAATATGTACAACATACAATGTTGCAGCACCTAGATTGCTGATGTTATCATTCTCAGATGTTCATTCACAGATGTTCAATTTTATGATTTACTATTCAAAACACTGCTGTGTTTTGAAATGAAAACTGAAAAAAATGAGTTACCAACTTAAGTCAGAACCAACTTACAATGTTGTCATTGGACTGGAATCCTGTCGTAAGTTGGGGACTACCTGTACTTAACTATTTCGGTGCTCAAATTGTTCTAGATATGGCTGGTGGGAGTCCCTCCAATCTGGTTCCTGTGCCTTTATGACATCAGCTATCATTTTAGAAATCATGATAACTCCAATCCATCCCCACAGGGTTCTTTCTAGCCTTTCCTTTCTGTATTTGTATGCTCCTTTTTCCACAGTGAGAACTCTGGTTCCCAAAACGTCAACATTTACTCCTTTCCTCAGTCCTATAATACATCTAAAATAGTTTCAGAATTGCTGAATTCTACTACCAATCTTACTAAAAAGAGTTCAGGATTAGTTGGCAATTCTTCCTTCCAATTCCTTCTTTCTCACACAAAAGTTAGAATACTATTTACTTCTGTGCTTTGCTTTTATCACTCAATAATATCTTCTGGAAATCACTCCATGTCAGTTCAGAGGAATCTTCCTTATTTGTTTTTACAGTTGCATGATACTTCATTATGTGTATGTATAATAGTTTATTAAAACAATCTTCTATAGTTTCCAATATTTTGAAATGATAAATAATGATACAATGAATAACCATGGTTATGTATTTTTGTATTGTTGAAAGTGTAACTTTGGGAAAAATTCCTAGAAGTGGGATTGCTGTGTTACAGAAAAAAGCATATGTAGTTTTGTTACATATTGTCAATTTCTTCTCAATATGGATTGTACCATTTTACATTCCCGCCAGTAATGTATCCAGATATATTTTATACCCCACAATTTATCTAGTGAATCTTTCATTTTGGTTATTGTACTTTTCATCTCTAGAATTTCCACTTGGTTCTTTTTTATAGTTCCTATTTGTTGAGTCATAGTATTCATATTTTCCTTTAATTTTTTGAACATAGTTTCTTGAATTCTTTAGGAAAAAATGTATGCTGCTTTGAAGTATTTGCTTGCAAAAATCCAACATCTGGGTCTACTCAGAGTCATTTTCTGTTGACTACTTTTTTCCTTGAATATGGGATACACTTTTTAGTTTAATGTTGTGTCTAGTAACACTTGGTTGAAAACTGGATATTTTCAATAAAATAACGTAACAACTCTGTATCCTGTTTTATTTTTCTGAGGATTGTTGGTTTGTCTTTTAGTAACTTGCCTGAACTTAAACTGTGGAAACTGTCTCCCCCATCGTGTGCAGCTACTGGTGTCTGCTCAGCTTTTTATTCTTATTTTTACTTTTTAACCTAACACTCTGGGGATCACCCCTGGATTTGCATGGTTTAGTGGTCAGTCAATGATTTGATCAGAGGTTGTGCTCAATCACCTTGAGCCCATAAGGCTTTCATGCTGTTGACTGATCTGTGTGTAGGTTAAGGAATGCATACAAAATTGAAGCCAATTCACAAGCTTTTCCTGGCTTTAATTTTACATGGGACTATTTCAGGTCTTCATAGCACATCTGTAGATTTTTAATCAGCCAGAGATATATGGAGAGCATATTTTCAATCCTCATCATTTTCTGGATTGCCCCCATTAAATTTTGGATTGATTTGCCTCTTGCTAAGGATTTGCTGGGGTAAGAGGTATTGCTAATCACCAGAGATGCCATCCTCTTATTTCACCCTGATGACCTCTTTACAGTACCAGTCTAGACGGGGTTGTTTTGCAAACTATGGCCCATGGGCCAAATCCAAACTGCCACTTGTTTTCATACAACCCATGAGCTAAGAATGGCATTTACATTTTTAAAGTTTGAAAAAACAGAAAGAATATTTCATGACACATGAAACTCATGAAATTCAAATTTCATTCCCCATAAATAAAGTTCATTTGTTTACATATTGTCTATGGCTGCTTTCCCACTACAACAGCAGAGCTGAGTAGTTGCAACAGAAACCGTACAGTGTGCGAGGACTGAAATATTTACTATCTGGCATTTTACAGAGAAAAGTTTGCCAACTCCTGCTCTAGACCTTGGACATGTGGCTTACACTTGGCTTGTTGGTTAAGAGCACAGACCATGGAGCCCGACAGTCCATTGTCAAATCCTGGCATCACCATTTGCCAGCTGTGTTACTATTAAAGCAACACTTAACCTTTCTGAACCTCAGTTTCCTTTCTGTAAAGTGGGGATGATACTATCTACCTTGTAGAGTTGTTATGAGGATTAAATGAATTAATTCATGTAAGTGCTTAGAGCAGTGCCTGGCACATAGAAGCTGGCTACCATTTATATTTTTATCCTGGCTTAAAAAGAATTTTAACAAAATAATCTTAAATCTCTGTCCCACTAACTGATTTACCCCCACTACTCTCAGAGTGATGATTGTCTTAAAACTCATCTCTTCAAAGACCAACCATGGCTCCTTGTTGCTCATGGGCTAGGCTGCCATTGGCAGCTCCCCAGCCTAGCCACTGTCTGCCTTTGAAACTTCATTTACCTTGCCCACTCCTCCTTCCTCTCCAGTGACAAACCCTGTGCTCTTGCCTTTTCCAGCACTCTGTGCTTGTCCACCCCTCTGCACTTCCCATCATGTGGCTCTTTATCTCTAGAATGCTTTCTTCTGGAAATTTCAAAAGGGTAACTGAGATTTGGAGGGGGGTTACAGCTTTTATTTCTGGTACAAACTTCAGCTTGGAAATCAGTGCCTGATGTCCCATTGGCACATGAAATGGAAATAATACTGTTGCGCCTCATGAAATTCATGATAAATTATTTTCAGGGTCAAAAAATGAAGCCGTTCAAAAGGACAAATATCATATGTTCCATTCATATGAAATATCTAGGATAGGCAAGAGTATAGAGACCAAAGTTTGTTAGTGGTTACCAGGGACAGGTGGGAGGGAGGGGGAAAGGAGGACTCACTATTTAAGGGACACTGAGCTTCTGCTAAGGGTGATGTGAAAATTTGGAAACAGGTAATAGCAACCATTGAACAACATGATAAATATAACTCATGTTACTGAATTGTACACGTGAAGAATGTTGAAAAGGCAAATGATTTGTTACATATATATTTATCACACGCACACAAATTGAAGCTATAGAAGAAAGCTGGGAAGAAGACACCAAGCCCTCTCCCCTGTATGTCAGGCTTTCCTTGGCATTGTCTAATACTGACTGGGGGCTCTTACATGGCACACTCTTAAAAGTAATGTATGCTCTGGGCAGAGAACTGGGTGGGCAAAAGTCAGAAGAAGCAAGGGACCTGGATCTCTGATTAAATATCAGGGTCACAAATGTATCATGTAGCCATTAAAATCAGCATAAAGATTATGGAGCAATGTGAAAAATGATCACAATACAGCATTTTGGAAGCACACAGGATACAAAATTGCATCCACATTGAATACAGTGGGATGAAAAGTAGGTCTAAAAGTGGACGTGAGACTGTGAATGAGTGAAATCACTTTTGATTGTAGGAATAGTAGCATTGTAGATGATCTTATCCTTCCTTTATTTACAGTGCTGTTAATTTTACTACAGTATTTGTGTAATTGAAAAATTAAGTGTTTTATGCAAAAACTTGTCAACTTGCACACTTAAAATACATGCATTTTATCATATGTATATTAGACTCTTAAAAAGTAAAAAAAAAAAAAAAAGCGAAATATTTTCAAATACTGCCAAGAGGTAAGCTGAGAAGAGGATGGAGTGTCTTTGAGTCTCCCCATCTGCCTCTTCTTCCCTTTTACCCAGCAATCAACAAACTCCTTGTCTTAGTTATCTAATGCTGCTATAACAGAAATACCACAAGTGGATGGCTTTAACAAACAGAAGTTTACTCGCTCACAGTTTAGGAGGCTAGAAGTCTGAATTCAGGGTACCAGCTCACAGAGAAGGCTTTCTCTCTCTGTTGGTTCTGTGGGAAGGTCCTTGTCACCAATCTTCCCTTGGTCTAGGAGCTTCTCAACACAGTAACCCTGGGTTCAAAGGACACACTCCACTCCTGGCGCTCCTTTCTTGATGGTAGCTATCTCTCTGCTAGCTATTCTCTCCTTCTATCTCTTGTAGAATAAAAGGTGATACAGGCCACACCCCAGGGAAACTCTGCTTATATCAGATGAGGACTGTGACCTGAGTAAGGGTGTTGCATCCTGTCCTAATCCTCTTTAACATAACCTAATCTTGCCTCATTAACCACAGAGATGAGGATTTACAATGAATAGGAAAATTACATCAAATCACAAAATGGAAGACAGCCACACAATACTGGGAATCATGGCCTAGCCAAGTTGACATATATTTTGGGGGGACACAATTCATTTCATGACACCCCTCAGCACAGTGGGTGCTAGGAATCTCAGGAATTGCTCTTCTCCTAAGCTCACATCACCTTCAGTCTGTCCTTGAATGTCCTTTGCCTTCCCTGCTTCGTACTGGATCCCCAAACAATCCCAGCTATTCATCCAACATTACCTTCCTGAGGGTTCTGCACTTTGCTAAGGACCCAATAAAGGAATCTCTGATAATGTACCAATGCATCATATGAGGTTATTGCTAACTGGTTCCAGATAACACTTCGCTTTTTGACCTGGAGATTTTGCCCTAATTGGTTTCATCAATGAAAGCACAGTGTCCCAAATAATGGAGGAGATGGTTGGTGAAATGGAATCTGGGCTTTCTTATCACAAGGGAAATTACTGAGCTGGGCACGTAAGTGGGGTCTGGGAAGAGGACTGACTGAGAAAACACAGTAAATTGGGAAGTGGGTTAATTCTGGTTAAATAATCTGAGCTTTTTTTTTTTTTTAGGGACCACCCAGGCCCTTGCTGCTCTTGAAAGGAACACACTGGAAGAGCAGCTATGGCCAGAGGTGAGGGCTTCACACTGGTGAGGGGAGTTAAGGAGATTTTCCCTTCCTGATGGAACAGTAGTTAAGAGCTTGGCTGCTAACCAGTCACTCCTTGGAAACCCTATGGGGCAGTTCTACTCTGTCCTATAGGGTTGCTATGAGTTGGAATCAACTCAACGGTGTGGTGGGCAATCCAAGCCTTGATACAATTGGCAGGCCCCTCCCTGAGGCCTTGAAGGAAAGGGCTGAATGAGCTGCTTCCACCAGCAGTAATTGGGCTGCCTGATAGAGTAAAAAAGGCATAACCATACCTCCTGCAATTTGGGACTTATCTCCCTGCAGACTCAGTGGGAGGTTCCCAGAAATGTCTAGAAAGGGGTATAAATGGGCTTGTTATCTCTGTGAACCTTGAAGCAGATGTTATAAGTTATCTGAAGGCATCTGGGTGAGGTCTTCCCAGAACATACACAAGATAAGAGTTGAGAGTAAATGCTGTATCTCTTACTGTAATCAGTAATTCAAGAGAAATTAAGTAGTGTCTTCTGGTGAGAGCCTGCTGTGGCTAAGTACCTTGTTCACTTGCACATTTATGATCCCTTTCCTAAAGACATTCATGTTATCCACAGAAGTGGAAGTCACACTGGGATCTTGGTACAAGCATCCAAGGAGGTCCGAGTGGCGTTGAGGACCCAAGCACTGGTCACAATTTCCTCCTCTGCTCTCAGAAAGACTCCTGAAGCCCCTCTGGGCTGGGGACACTCAAATCTGGTGGGGACACAAGATTCCCTCAGTTTCAAGTTTATCCACTTTACAGCAGCAAATAAACAATGGCTTATATGCCTGCTTTTGGGTAAATAATCAAATTAAAAACGGAGAGTAGATCATACAAATAAGTATAATAACATAGAATTGGTTTTTATTCTTTATCATTCTCCCTCCCTCTCCATCCCACTGTTCTGAGACGTCTTTAAGTGCCACCTACCAAATCATTGTCAATAGACATATGTCCCCTTTTTCCATGGGGTTTGGAGAGCTTGACTATGGACTATTGTTGCTTCTGGATTTTGAGTCTAGAACAAGTACATGGTCATTTCTGGACCAGGTTTTCAGGACTTGCAATATTTCCATACAAGGCAATTGATGTTTCTGATGTTTGGTTTCAGTTGCAGTCCCTGAGGAATTTTCCTTTTCCATGCCAGCTAGAGAAGCCGGGATCCAAAGTGTCTTCTGAGTCAGGTATGTGACCACCGACCATTAGCAGGGAAGGCCGGTGACTTCTCTCTGATGTGGCCAGCACATCTTGCACTCCTCCTGAACCTTTGAGGAGTTCATGTCTTCCATATTCCCCATGCTAAGTTCCTCACACCACCTCTCTTCCCCTGTTAGTCATTTTAATGCTAGGTCATAGCCCACACATACCACTCAAAGACAGAAACCAACACGGTCCCACAGTGGCTTACCTGGGTGAGGGTGAATTTCAGGAAGTCTCCTCCCTGTGGGTGTCAGTGCCATGGAAGTGTAATCACTCATATGCCTTCCCATTCCTGTAATGTAGCCACAGTAGCTTCTCGAGACATTTTTTCCCTTTAATGGCTGAGTTGTCTAACACCTGGATGCTATGAGTATCATTCTTGAGCTGGTCTTCTTCCTAGCTTTATCATATTAAGTGGCTGCATTATAGACTGTATTTAATGGCTTTACTTATGGTTGCATTACACTGACTTAATCAGAGTTTCCAGCTAAACATGTTATTCTTGTTGTTGTGTGCCATTTAGTCGATTCTGACTCAGTGACCCTATAGGACAGAATAGAATTTCCCCATCAGCTGTAGTCTTTATGGCAGTAGATCGCCAGGTCTTTTCTCCTGTGGAGCCACTGGTGGATTTGAAGACCAACTTTTTGGTTAGCAGCTGAGCGCTTGACCATTGTGCCACTTACTATTATATAAGAACTTTAGGTAGAAAAATAAATAGATGCACTTCTTAGGAAATGACTTCTTTAGGAAGTTTTCTTTAAACTATCCTGTAACATGACCAGGGATATGTCAGTGGTTTCTAGGGAGACTTAATTTCTAAAATGCTAGTGACTCAGGTAGGTAAAAAGTCCCTGGGTAGCGCAAACGGTTAATGTTCTCAGCTGTTAACCAAAATTTTGGCAGTTTGAGTCAACCCAGAGGCACCTCAGAAGAAAGCCCTGGTGATCTACTTCCAAAAAATCAGACATTGAAAACCCCATGTAGCACAGTTTTACTCTGACACACGTGAGGTCCCCATGAGTTGAAACTGACTCCACAGCAACTAGTGAGGTAAGTAAGGCAGGCGGGTAGAGGAGGCTGTTACGCGTACCTTTGTATGTGACTGCAGCTGATGTGCATGTGTGTTCACAGGCTTTGGATGCTATTTTCAGGCAATCTTAAGCTAAAGTTCTCCTTTTTTGCATCCAGGTGGTTTTCATTTTAATTTTTTTGACTTCTTACTTATTTATAGCCCAGAAATGCAGAGCCATGGTATAGAGGGAAGTGAGAGGCAGACAGAGGTCCAGATGAGAGGGAAAATGGGGACATGAGTGACCTTTCATGGGATACCTGTTGGAGAGCCTGAGTCTAGCTGACAGTACGGCCTCCAGAGAGGACTGAGCCTCTAGTCAGTGAGATCCCCAGGCCTTCCAGTGACCGCCTGGCCTTCCATTCCCACATCTGACAGTCAACCTCAGTTACCCAAGGGCTGGGGGACAGATGTGGGCCTGACCCTCCTATGGCCTACATCTTGGAGAATGTAGATCTGACCTTCCTACACGGGTTCTTGTCTTTGCAGTTCACTCTCTGAGGGCTTCTGATATTAAAGTTGTGGCAGCCATTGGGAATCTTGAAATTGTGAGTATTTAAAGCAGCTGGGGTTAGGAGGCAGGGTTTGGCACTGGTGACCCTCTGCATGAACTCCTGGTAACCAGGTGGAATGTCTCATTTTGGGAGAGAAGAACATTATATGAGTTGGAGAAATCCTAACAATGCAAGCGGTACTGAATCTTTCTTTGTAAATCAATTGAATGCGTCCCTTTACATCGGGGTGAGAAAACTTGTTTTTCTTGGGGAGGTCACCACCCATTGATAAATGAATGCTCACACAAGATTTTTAAAAGTAATAATTTTAAGTTTCTATTTCTGTGATAAAGAAAAGAAATGTTTCCTTACTTGCTTTATAAATTAAAAATGAAATGAAATCAATCTTTGTTAATTTTATATGACTGGTAAGGGAGAAGATAAGAGGTAAGAAGGGAAAGATGGGAAGGGAGGAGAGAAAGGGATGAGCAGAGAGAGGTATCTGGGGGAGAAGAGGGCTGGAAAGCAGACAATGTCAATGTGTTTTCCCAATCAGTCTTTACTTCCCACTATCCCACCTGCCCTGGGCTTAGCAAAGTTGCCACAGCCCTGCTGCCGCTCAGGCCCTAGCAACGCCAGCCTCAGAGAATTCTTCTTTGACAGGTCTCTGCTCTGCCCAAAGCCCTACTTGTACCTCCCACACTTGAACCTGGGACATTCCCTTGCCTCCCCTGGTGTCTTCTTCCCAACTCTGACAACCGCGTTTCCTTCCCAGCACTGCTTTCCTGTCCTCACTGTGGCCCGTACTCCTGCCACCTCAGCCTCAGCCCCTGCCCCACCGTCCTGACCCTGCCTGCCTAGCTGGAAACCCCAACCCACTACTCCATGCACAGTGCCTGCAGACATGGTGCTCCCAGAGCACCTGGGCCCATTTCCCCTCTTCTCCTCTTCATGTCCTGGTGGTGCAGTGCTTAAGAGCTACGGCTGCAAACCAAAAGATCGGCAGTTCGAATCCACCAGCTGCTCCTTGGAAACCCTATGGAGCAGTTCTACTCTGTCCTATAGGGTCACTATGAGTTGGAATTGATGACAACAGGTTTTGGTTTTTTTGGTTTTGGCCTCTTCATGGATAACCAAGTCCCTCCTGTCTGGAACAAGCCTGGGACACTCTGCCCAGTGGATGTCTGCTCCCCGGTGTTTATGAACGCCACCTCTCCTTGAACGCTGGGTGAAGATGCCCACCCCGAGGTCTTTTGTTTCTTTTAGGCCTGAACACAAATCTACTTGTTGACTACAAGTATGAAAGCTGTGAATGTGGGTAGTGGGGTAGAGGGAAGAAGGGTGTGGAGGTGCTGGTATGTGGAACACGAGACTTAATATCAGAAAACTGACCACGGACCCAATGGAAGTTTTATTCTATTTGTGCCAGTGGTTTTAAACTGCAGGCCTTACTGTCTCTATGCATTGGTGGGGTGAGGGGGAAGTTCTACTCCTGAAAAAGATGTGAAAGGAGAGATGGAAATGAACGAGGAAAGCGGTGTCAGGCCACAGATAGGAAGGAGGCTGGCTTTGCTAAGCCTGTGTCTCTGCATGCTGATACTTATATTCCAGAGCCCGAATTCCTAACGCCTGCCTTCCTGCAGGGCTTCACATTCTTCCAGCTGGGGCAGAGACATTCATTGCGGGGAAATCCTCACCCAAAGTCAGATTTTGAAAGTTAAACCAGTGCAAGGACTTCCACCCTGTATCCTGTCTCTGGAAGCTTCTCTAATGCATGAATTATTCAGGTCTGACAGCACCTGCCTGTCACTCAGTCACCCTTTCTCCTCTCGTGAGCCAGAGGCCGACGCCACTCAATGCAGCTTCAGTCCAGGGTGGTCCTTAGCACCAGGGTCATCACCATCACACCAAGGGTGTCTCTGCCTCTAGGATGTAACCTGAAAGTACAGTTCTTCAAAGGCCTTCCTCCTCCGTCTGCCCAAAGAGATGGTCATCATAAACTTAGCCTGGTTTGTTTAAAAAAAAAAAAAAGATCAGGCCAGGGAAAAATAAAGGAAGACAACTAATTATTTAAAAAAAATTGTTAATGCTGACACTTCTGCTGTGGGTTCCTGGAGCTTTCTGTAACCAAGACATACTCACTTTTTTATGACTGTAACTAGCATTTATTTGATTGCTATGGGCCACATCTTCTTCTTAGCACTTAAAAGATCAGATTTGTGAAAGTGATTTTCAAAATAATGCTTGTGATACATGTTCAGTATAAGAAAACATTTTTAAATCCTGATGTGTATAGAATAAAAAATAGAAGACCTCGCTCACATTCCCTGCTTCTCTGCCTCAACACCCACTCACACTCGTGTGCTCATGCTTGGAGCTCACGCTTTCTTGTGTTCTCTCATTTGTAGGGTATAGATACTTTTTCTAAACACCTAAGTAGACTCATATTGTAGTATACTGTCTGTGACTTTTTTTTTCACTTAATGAAGTGTCATAGACATTTTACAGCCCACTCTACTGAATTCCTTGAGGGCAAGGCTGTGTCTTATTTAGCTTTGTGTCCCTAGTGTCCTAGTACCTGCGACAGGCATACGTTCAACAAATGAGCAGTGTGGAGAAAAAATAGGTAGCAGCAGGCAAATTTAAGACGTAGGAGTTTGCAGCATTTGTCCCAGCTTTCCCTTTCTTCTCAGGTCACTCAACTCCCCCCAGTTCCACCACTGTTCCTCTTGTTCTCTCCTCCTCTCCCTCCCCACCTCTCTTCACCATCTCCCATCAAGCTTGTTCTGAAGAAGCAAACTGGCGGTCCCAAGTCATGCCATGAGTAGGAATCGACTCCAGGGCAATGGGTTTTTTTTTTTTTTTGATTGTTTAAGTGCTGGGTAGTTAAGGATAAATCACAGCGACCCCATGGGTTTCAGAGTACAACTGTGCTCCACAGGGTTTTCAATACCTGATTTTTCATAAGTAGATCACCAGGTCTTTCTTCTAAGGTGCCTCTGGGTGGACTCAAACCTCCAAACTTTTGGATAGCAGCTGAGTGTGTTAACCATTTGCACCTCCCAGGGACAAAAGTTAAGGATAGATGAGCTCTTTAGCATGAAGCCAGAGCAGGTTGGGTGTAGGTAATGTGGGTAAAGCTCTCTGCCCGTCACCACCAGACCTTAAGACACTCTCTTCTAGGAATATCGAGAGAGATGATTTATGTAAGAAACTGAAAATAATACTATAACAACAACCAATATTTACTGAGCACTTTCTATGTACTAGGCACGATCCTAAGCATCCTCATGAGCTTGCAAAGGACAGAAGCCCCAGGGGGGGTTACCATGGTCTAACCACCTCCAGCCTTCCAACCGACCAACTTCCCACTAGAGAGAGTCCTGTGTTGTTCAGCGTGTTACCAAGGGGGGAATCAGAAATTTGCTTTGTTCATCCAAAACATACGCATTCAACAAATATTTATTGAAGACTTATGACGTGTCAGGCACTGCTCTAGGCCCAAGGAATACCGTTAAGAGCAAAACAGACAAAAATCCCTGCCCTCATGGTGCTTACATTCTATTCAGGGGAGATAAACAAGAAACAAAATAAATTTTAAATTGTGGATAGACAATAAATACAATAAATTTTAGGTTGTGAAATGTCACAATAAAATAATCTATTTTGTTTCTATGTAGAATGTTAATATTTTATGATGCATTTGATCTGAGCTCTCCTACTTCTGTTTTCTGTTCTGAGGAAAACATTCAGACCTTTAATTGCTCTGAAGTCTGACAATTATGCTGCTGAGGAAAGCCTAATATTCTTCCTTCACTGTAAAACTACCATGGGGTGGATGTAGTCTTTCTCTGGGTCCACAGGTTCCCCTTTCTTTGTGGGAGGGGGTTTTCTGACAGGCAGCTTGGGGTCTCATAAGGAAAGATCCCACCACCTTCCCTGGCTGGGCTATTAACATCTCATGTCTTTTCCAGCCTCCAGACTTGGGGACGGTGAACCTGAAGAAGCAAAACTGGTAACTGAATGGAACCCCAGAATGATAGAGCAGAAAGGAGACTCAGAGTCTCTCTGATCTAGTCGCCTCACTTTACTGATGAGAGGAAATCTGAGGGCCAGAGAAGCTAGATGCTGTACTCAAGGCTACCATAGAAGCAGGTGGCAGAGTGGGGCCAGACCCAGCACCCCAGGCCAACACTCCCAGTACCAGTGAATCACCACGGCCCCTCTGAATGAAAATGGGGGAGATGTGGGAAGGGCAAAATGCTGGAATTCTTGCTTCCCACCACCTGGTCTCCTTACTCTACTCTTGGAGAATAGTGCGGGGTTTGTGCCAGGGTCAGTCAGTCTACACTGGGGTGAACAGCCCCTTCCAGTGTTGAGGCCAGACTAGAGCAGTGGGAAGGAGGAGGAGGATCCAGATGGTGCTGCTCCCCCCTTTTTGGTGACTCCATCTCCATTTAAGGTGTGTCTCTGAGTCCAGGAAGGATAACCCCAGAACCAGTGCCAGGCTGACCCAAAGCCTGTTAGGAACAGACCACAACAGTCAAGGGAAAGAGTTGTTTGTAGGAGACAAATACAGCCTGACACTTGTGTGATTGCATCTACTTCCAGGACTGAAGAAAGACCAGAGCAGGCGTGCATGCTAGTGACAGGTGAGTTCTGTGTGTCTGCATCTGGATTCCAGATGCCCACCCAGCAGTATTTTGGTTAATGAGGATGTACCCTATTGGCCACTTCATTACCAGACCCTGAGGGAAAGAGAAGGCAGTCCTACAGGCCAGGTCAGATAAGGGGGCCAGGGCATGAAAGTCACAACTCCTCAGCGGAAGACAGGAGAACTGTGTTCGAAGGTCTCTGGGCAAAGAGAAGTGAGCAGCCTTTGGGTTGACCTTAGGGAATATGGGAGAGGGGTTAGGGGCTGGTGGGAGAGCTGGACTAAGGTGCTGGCAAAACCCTTAGGCTTTTTCCTCCGCAGGCCTGGACTTGTAGCACTGCAGCCAGAAAACTGTCCGCGGTTCACTCCTCAGGAGAGTACCTGTGGCTAATTTTCAGTCTATTTCATTTTGTAATAACTCCCTGGCTTGTAAAATAAATATATCAGTTGGGTTCAGGAAAGTGAAACAGAAGATAAAAATCGACTATAATCTCACTATCCAGTGATAATCATTGTTAACATGCTGGCCTTTTTAAATAAGAATGTGCTCATAATATACTATCTGTAACCTGGTTTTTTTTTGTACATATCAGAGGTCCCTTATGACTTTCTGTATTAAGTCGTCTTGAAACCCCTAAATCCCTTAGCTCCAGCTGAATTAGCCTAGTGGGACATCAGATTCTCCTATGCTCGGGGCTCATAAATCAGGAACAAGAGAAACCACTGTTCACTCCATAATTAGAGTCAGAAGATGTAGACCACAAGGCAGATGCTCGGCAGAGCTGACCCTCCCGGGGAGTATGATCAGCAGGGGAGGGAAGGAGCCAGTGCTGTCAATTCCATTGGGGAATTTGCACAGAGGGCCAGGGAGTTATTAGACGCCCTGGAGGGAGGAGGGATGAAGAAGATGCTGGTCCTGCCCTCAGGCGTTCACGGTTCAGCAGGGGAGGTTGGAGCCTGGTATCCAGTCCTTTCGTGATCTGATTGACAAGTAAGGGGTTTTTGGTGGTCAAAATGGTGGGAAGGTCCCCAAGCAGACAGTGAAGGACTCTGAAAGAGGAAGCCCTACATTGACGTGGTGGTCTTCACTCCCGTGCCTAGGCCTGGCCCTGTTCACCTTTAAATGGTAGGAAGAGAGAAATGAATGTGTGGTGTATTGGGGGCATCCGGGAAGCCACAGATGCAGCTGCTGCTTTGTCTGATTTTAATTTTTTATCACCCATCCTGTAAGAAAGTCCTCTCCCTCCCTCTCTCTTTCTCTCTCTCATTATCTCTCTCTCCATCTACCTCCCCCGCACACACATATGCATGCATGCACGCATGCACGCATCATCCCTACAGTCTTGAACTGGGCTCAGAGCTCTCAGTTTCCTCTCCACATGTGGGAATTAGCTACTTCTGTAAACCTCGTCAGGAATTAGAAAGTGAAGCTCATTACTTTAAGGATGAAGAAACCCAGCCGCAAAAGAGTGAGGTGGCTACTGAAGATCACAAAGCCAAGTGATGAATTCTCCTGCCTCTAGCCCAGCTCTCCTGCCCCCCCACCCCCCATCTGATGCCTGGGATGCTCCCAACAGCTTAGTTCCACACTGAAGGGAGCCCCTCTAAAGCTGCCTTCTGCTCCCATAGAGCCCCCAGTGGCTGCTGGATGGGAGAAAAAAGAAAAAGGGACTGTGATGGGGGTGGAGGCGTCTTCCACCCCCCACTCTCTCTCCCTGCTCTGCCCTCTCCTCTCTTGGGAGCAAGACGTAAGTGCTCCTGACAGCGCTATTTTTAGCAGTCTTTTGGCTGTCAGCACTGGGACATGTTCTCTGTGTGTTCCCTGGAGCTTTCCCACCCCACTGTCACTCTTGGGAGGAGGAAGGGGGCCGGGAGGCAGCCTGTGCCCTGGCCCTGCATTGCTTTCTCTAATGAGGCGGTAGCTTGTGGCAGTCGAAAGCTTTGGTATCCGCAAGCTCTGGTTTAAGGCCCAACAACCCCAGTTGTCTAAGTTGCTTAGCTTCTCTAAGCCTCAGTTTCCCCGTCACTAAATTGGAGCTAATTTGCCTTGGGTTTGTGGAGAGGATTGAACTGAGAAGACTTGACAAGTGTTTAGTGCCGGGCCTGGCACTTGACAGGTGTCAGTTTCCGCTCCATGCTCTTCCAGGAGCCTGCAAGGAGGCTGACCTCACAGCCCAAGGCAGAGTGTGAGGACTGTGCCTTGGAATGGGAACAGCCACCCCAGCCCTTCACCCTTGAGGGGTCAGTCCTTAAAGATGACCTCCAGGGCTCAAGACCAGGACCTCAAACCAGTCCTCTCTCTCTAGTCCTCTCAGATGTCATCAGTCATTTCAATCCTTCTGTTCTGAGGCCCATGTGCTCTCCTGGGAAGAGTGTTGTGCCCCACAACGACACTGAGTAAGTTACCTGTCTGCCTCCCTCCAGGGTTGTGTATTCCTGCTGGTCTCTGGCATGTAGGCCGGAGGATCTGGGCTGGACTGCCAAAGTCAACCCCCCACCAAAAAAAACAAAACAGACCAAACCCATTGCCGTAAAGTCGATTCCAACACATAGCGACCCTATCGGACAGAGTAGAATCGCCCCATAGAGTTTCCAAGGAGCACCTGGTGGATTTGAACTGCCGACCTTTTGGTTAGCAGCCATAGCTATTAACCAGTATGCCACCAAGGTTTCCACCAAAGTCAAAGAGGCTTAAAAATAGAGTCTTTATCAAGCCAGGCTAAGACGCCTCTCCCTTGCTGACTTTAGTCTGGCTCACAGGCCTAATTGTAACAATCAGGTCTATGTTTACCTTTCAGAAGCCAGGGCTGGTCCCATATGGCCTCAGCTCACCCACTGGCTCCTGGGCAGGGGTGAGAGGCAAGCTTCTAGCCCACAGTCATGGCTGTGCCCATATCCTACAGAATAATATTTAGCTGGTTTTTCTCTCTGCTTCCCTCCCTCTGCACAGAGACCTGTGGATTCAGGCCAAAGAACTGGTGAGAAGCATGAAAGAGAACCTGGTAAGAATCCATGGGACTTCCGGCATGGTTGGGGCTGCCCACATTTACTGTTAGGCAGCTGGACCAAATACACCAAGCAATGAGGGCCCGGTATCATCTTGCCCTGTACTCAGTCACTAGGGTGGCCTGAGCTCTTCAAAAATGTCCTTTCCAGGCAATTCTCTAGAGTTATTAAACACAGGACTAGTTCTTATATTCAAAATGGTTTTCTGTGAGGTCCTGCCAAAAGTAACAGAGGGACAAATGACCTCTTACATACTGAGGTAGTTGAGAGCTTGGGTTCCAGAGAAGGGCCAGCTTGAGTATGAATCCTGAAATCTCCACCTATTAGCTGTGTGACATTGAGTAAGGGACTTAACCTCTCTAAGTCTCAGTCTTCACACTTATGAAATGGATATAATAAAAGCACCTGAATCACAGTGCTTAAAAACCCAAACCAAACCCATTGCCATTGAGTCGGTTCTGACTGATAGCAACCTTCTAGGACAGAGAACTGCCCCCATAGGATTTCCAAGGCTGTAAATCTTTACAGAAGCAGACTACCACATCTTTCTCCCATGGAGCGGCTTGTGGGTTTGGACTGCCAACCTTTCAGTTAGCTGCTGAGCACTTAAGCACTGTGCCACCAGGGCTCCTTCACAGTGTTTAGGAAAGATTAAATGAAGTAGTGGTTGTATACTCTTTAACTTGGTGCCTGGCAAAAAGTCAGTGCTTGATAAAAGTCTGCAGCTGTCACTGTAGTGGGGATTACTGCTGTTATTAATTACCATATTAACTGTAGGTCTTAGATGGAGGCCTCTAATATATATATGCCCTGGGACCCACTCTCCCAACAGTTTACTCTTTACCTAGTAACTCATATAAATTTGTAATAAGCAGATATTTTGTGCTTTCCTTAGGGGCAAATATCTAACTAAGCACTGAGCCTGGATGGCTAGAACCCAGGGAAACTTCTGTCTCAAGCAGCTGTGCATGCATCAAAGAGTTTGGGCATTAACGAGGAACTCATTCCAGGTCATGTGGGGCAGTAACAAATGCAGGAAATAGGCCAGAAAGAGTTGAGTTCACCCTAACAGGAGGATTCCAGAATTCCTAGCCAAGTCATAAAACCATATAATTACTCTGGAAGCCAGTTTGGAGATCCCTAATCCACACCCTTAATTTCACAGATGAGGAAACTCATGTTCCAAGAATTCATGTGACCTGTCCAAGGCCACACAACTAATTGGAGCTCAATTCACAGTCCAGTGTTCCTCAATTATACTGCCTCTTAAAGCACAAATAAAACATTTATTTCACAAGTATTAATGTTCACAGTAGGAAAACCAGAAAATAGATAAGCACAAAGAATATTAATGCGATCAAATTGACAGCGGAAACTCAAAAAGTTAGATAGGAAGCTTAGGGGGCAGGGAGTTCATGTGACTGAGGAATTTGAAAGAGGAGGGCAGAATGGTTGCACAACTCGAAGAATGTAATCAATGTCACTGAACTGCAGGCGTAGAAATTATTAAATTGGCATATGTTCTGCTGTGTATATTTTCAACAGCAAAATTAAAATAAGTTATCAAAAAATATTATTAAAATCATCCTTAAACCTAATACAAGAGATAATTACTGTCAACTTCTTAGTGTATATTTCTTTGGTGGGTTTTTTTTCTTAGCACATATATCTGTATGTATTTCATAAAACAGGGATGCTACTGTATATAGATACTTTTTATAACCTGCTTTTCTCAGTATATTAACATCGCCACGACAATAATTATCATTCCAAGCATCATTTTAATAGATACATACTGGTTCATCTTATGAGCATCCACAGTTTACACAACCAATTTTCTATTTTAGAAATTTGTGTTTCTAGTTTTTCACTCTTATGAACAATGTTCTGATGAATATAATTGTAGCTAAATGTTTGCATGCATCTTTGTTTCCGTAAGATGTATTTTGGGAAATGAAATTGTTGGATCAAAGCGTATGCCCCTTTAAAAAAGGTTTTTGATATATTTTGCCAAATTGCCTTCTAGAACAGTTGTACCCCTTCAGATTCCCACCATATACTTCATCTTTTGGGAAAAAAAGAACCCATAAATATGATTTATGGGGATGGGTGTATGAACTTGAAAGACATGCAGGAAGGACATTTTTTGGTGCAAAGTCTCACTGCTGTTTCTCTCTGATGCTGCTGCCTTTTTCCTCAGCAACTCAGCTTTCAGAATGACTGGAAGCTCATCAATGTGTTCTTCCGCCACGCAAGTCAGTGCCACCTGTGTTCCTCAGCCCACCAGGTGAGCCGCAGGCTAGGCAGCCGGGGGCTGTAAATGCCGGGGTGGGGAGTGGCGGAGGGGGAACTTAACCTGCCTGATCTCCACCTGTAGAAACCCAAGGAACCATATATAGGAATAGATGTTCTAACGTACCATCCTGCAGATCAGGAGAAGGAAGTTGAAGTGTAGATAAGCTGAGCCAATGGTCATCCGGCAACTGAGAAAAATCAGCTTCCCAGCTAGTTAAACATTACTGTGCCTGTTTTAATTTTGGTTTCATGTGAGTACTGAGTTTAGGAAGAGGCGGGATGTGTACTCTGTCGTCACCCCTTGGTGCCATGAGCTCTCGCCTTTGTTTAACTTGGGAGAGCTGCTGCATGTTATCTAGGTAGACGGCTTCCTCTAGGCTCTTTGGCTTTTCCTGGACAACAGTGGGTGACACATGTGACTTCACTTATTATTTATATAGGTGACTGGCTATGACTTAAGTCCTTACTTAAAATCCTCCAGGTTAGAGAAGTGTAAGAGGTGGCTCAGAAACCCAGGCCATGGTGGCATACGTGTTCCTCAGGAGCCTCTGGCCTGGCTGCCACCAAGCTTCCCTGCCACCTGTGACAGTCCAATTGCCTGTCCCCGTCCTCCTAGCCACACTTCCAGACCTCTGCTAGGCCACGGCACAGGCATGGGTAGAATTTCTCTCCCTCAGCATATGCTCTTACCTTCCTCATAATGCCCCATGCCCCCACTGACTTCTGCCCCTCCATCAAAATTTCCCTTTTTAAAGAGATGTTGGACCCTGGGGAATGCTAATGGAAACCAACTTTCCCCAGCCAGCTCTTCTAAGTCCACATTCCTGCAAATCTCCTGGGCTTGTAGCATACAGATTATATTGTTCCTGTTCACCCTCTGTTGATTGACTATTTTCTCCAATGCCAAGAGAAAGTTACATGCCCTACTTATTTTCTGCCCCTCCCCTCTTTTTTGTCACATGCACACCAACATTTATTCATGAATTTATACATTAATACATTCAAGTATTCAAACAAGCATTTAGGCATTGCTGTATTCCTCTATGTATCCGCTCATCCATCTACCCATGTGCCCATCCATCCACAAGTTATGATATTCCTGCATAACCAGAGGCTTAGGGAGGGTAACGAGCAAGAGGGCAGTCTCTAAGTTGCACCCCCCACCCCCCCGCCAAATTTCAAGATGAATAGGTGTTGATAGAAGCAATGTGTCAGCAGAAGTGCCTTCTCCCCTCTTGTCCAGCTGCCTTATTCAGGGGCCTTTCACATTTGTGGCGCCTTGGAATGTCATTTCTTGCCTTGTCTGGTGACCTTCTGGACTTGTGCCTGGGGGCAAGTGTCCCTCTGCCCCCGTTGCTATGCCTCTGTGTCTACCATGCTTGAGGAAGGACACTGAGCTGCACCAGGTTAGTAGAAACTGCTTGGTGACACCTTCCCACCTTCAAGTGGCACCCAGGGCATGTGCCATACCTACCACATCTTAGATACACCTCTGTTAAATAACTTCATTTTCTCTTCTTGCATGCAGACATAGGCTATTGTATTTATGATGAGTTTGTTCATGCTATGAGTATGAGTTTCTTTATACTTTTCGTGTATGAATACATTCATAGATGCTTCTACTCATTAATGATTTCTTCCATACATTTCATCCTGCATTCATATGCTCCAGTGTGAATTCTTGCATTCTTCATGTATTTGTGTCTTCAAGTATTCTTGAATATATAATGTGTTTCTGTGTGCGTGTATTCATTTATTCAGCATTTACTTTCATTAAATGTTAGTTATGCAAGTGGTACACAAATGCTTTCTCCTTTTGTAAAATTAAAATATTAGTCAAAGCTGAAACACCCTTTGGCCAGCACCCCAATCCTGTTCCTCTCCCTCGCTTCTAAAGATAGGGAATTCTATGAACTTCTGTGTACCTTTCCAAATCTTCTACATATCTATGAACCTCACTATTTTATGTGTGTGTGTGTGTGTGTGTGTGTAAAAGAGAGAGAAAGATTACATAAACAGTGTTACATTTTATGTATCATTGAGCAGATTTTTTTCACTCATCAAATTTTTTTTTGAGATCTAGTCACGCAATGGAATAGTGTAAATTTAGTGCATTTTATTTTGCTATTTCCCTTTGATAGTCAGCTGGATATTTCCACTTTTTCACTATTATAAGCAATGCTACAATAAACAATCTTGTTCACTTACTTGAACATGAGCAAATGTTTTTTAAACTGTGGATTCAAATTAATGGGTAAAAAAATAAGTTTGAAGGATTGCAACCAAAACTGTATAAAACAGAAATAGAATAGAGTAATCTATAAAATATTGGAGTTCATTACATTGTAGTAAGGTAAGTGTTGATTCGTGAAACTTCGGATTTATTTCTACGTGGATGTGTGTATGGGTTGCAATGTGAAACTTCTACTCTGGATCATGTTCAAGATAGTTTGAAGAAAAGTGCTTAGAGTAGATTCTTAGACGTAGAACTGCTGGTCATCAAGTATGTGCAATTTAATTTTAAATAAAACACCAAATGAGAAAACAATTTAAAAAATCAGTTGTTGTTGAGCTGATTCCGACTCACGGTGAGGGTTTTCAATGACTGATTTTTTGGAAGTAGATTGCCAGGCCTTTCTTTTGAGGCTCCTCTGGTGAAATTCCCTCGATCTGTAGGCCCCTTGATACATAGGACTGAGTTTATCCACACATAGCGCCTCATACTTTTAATTGGCTGTAAACATATGATGAGAGTAATCCTGCTTCACTCTAGCTTTTAAACCGCAGTAAACCATTGACTTGGACCTCCACAAACTCAGCTCATTGTAGCAATGCTCACTAGCATCTACTCAAATCCCCTTTTTATCACATTTTTTTCTTCCATCTTTACTTTTCCTTTTGCACAAAGACCACCAAATCTTTGAGCCAAGAATAAGTCTCACCTCCATTTCCATTTTCCTTGAAGGACTTTGTGGTGCCTAAGTCTGCCTCACTTGGCCACCTTGGCCTAGGTCTGCAGGCTCCTCCCTCCACCTTTCTAAGCTTCTGTAGCTAAGATCACCACTCACCCCCTAGTCTTCTGGGATCGCCTCTGGCCACAGCACAGCTCCATCTTCAAACTAACCCTGTGGCATAGTTCAACATCCCCCTTTGGAAAGTTCTTACACAACCTTTTTTATATTCCTCAAAATGCACCCCAGGCACAGTCTCTCCCTCAGTGGTTGTCAAAACATGCTCTGCAGAGTCCCAGAGGCCATTGGAGGTGCCTCTGAGGACAAAAGTCAAGTCAGAGAAGATGAGCCCCAGGTCTCTACCTGACTTCACAGAGCAGCTTTGTTTATCTTTGTCATATGTCCAGGGTTTCCCAAAATAGTTTATATGGGGGAGAAAAAGTGTTTTACTGCTAAAAAGAAATGTTAAACTACTGTCCTGCCCTATCTTAGGACTTGGATTTCTCTTCCCCTAGGAAGGCCTGAGGGAGTCCTGGTGGCACAGTGGTTAAGCACCAGGGCTCCTTCTGTAAAGATTACAGCCTTGGAAACTTCCACGGGGCAGTTCTACTCTGTCCTATAGGGTTGCTGTGAGTTGAAATTGACTCAGTGGCAGTGGTTTTTTTTTTTTTTTTTTTTTTTTTTTTTGGTGGTTGGGGGAAGCCTTGGAAGGAGCCTTGGTGGCACAATGATTTAAGCGCCTGGCTGCTAACCAAAAGGTTGGCGGTTGGAACCTACCAGTAGCTCCATGGGAGAAAAGACCTGGTGATCTGCTCCTGTAAAGATTACAGCCTAGGAAACTTTATGGGGCAGTTCTACTCTATCCTATAGGGTCACTATAAGTCAGAACCGACTTGAGGGCACACAACAACAGGGGGGCCTTGGAGTCCCTGAGTGGTGCAAACAGTTAAGTGCTCAGCCACTAACTGAAAGGTTGATGGTTAGAACCCACCCAGAGGCACCCCAGAAGAAAGGCTGGTAATCTGCTTCCGAAAGGTCACAGCCATTGCAAATCCTGTGGGGCAATTCTGCTCTGCATACATGGGGTTGCTAACAACACCGACAAATTGGGCTCCTGTAGAGGGCAATAGATAAGGGCTCTTTTTGGGTTTCTTAAGACCAAAGCCATAAGGAGTAGATCAGAACCTATCGGCTAGGCAGTGACGACAACCCTCCAGGGCTTCCCTGGCGGGTCCGGTGATTCCAAGGACAGATGCTTTACAAGATAATGGCAGCCTGGGACATGGCAGTGATATGGGGTGCTTTTAGGGTTTGGGCTCTTCTTTGCTGCTCTCTACTTATTCTCTAGTTTTTTTAATGAGTAATATCAAAAATTGGTTAGAAGAAAGAAAAAAAATGAAGGAAAAAGACCTCAAAGCTGCTGATACCACAAGAAAGCATACATGCTTACTCACAGCAGATGCATCAGTAGATGTTAGCATCTGGGAAGACACACTGGCAATGTGGCCCAAGAAACATGAAGGTGTCCCTACCTTCTGCTGAGTACTCTAACTCCTTGGAACAAATTCCAAGGAAACAATTTATTAGAGAACGTAAAGTCTGGTCTCAGGCATGTGTTTGATACTAGAGCATTCTTTAGGATCTGGGGCCAAAATAGCTAAGTAGAAACATACAACTTTATTTGGAGAAATAAACGTTTTCCTGACACTGGGTTCAAGGAGGAGTTTATGATGTGCGGCCTTATAGAAGAGAGACATTACATATGAGTGTAATGTCTTCCACTAAGGAACAAGGACAGTGGGGGCCCCAAGTGACCACCATTCAGGCCTGAAAGGGCCGGGTGGCCCCATTCATTCAGCAGCTGGGAAGAAGCACCTCCACTGGGAGGATCTAAAGCCGGGTTCACACTGGGGGAAGTCAGGCGGGGTGTCCCCTGCTGCACCACCAGTTGCCGTTGAGTCAGCTCTGACTCCGGGTTACCCCATGTGTGTCAGAGTAGAACTGTGCCCCACAGAGTTCTCAATGACTGGTTGTTCAGGAGTAGATCACCAGGCCTTTCTTCTGAGGCACCGCTGGTGGGCTTAAGCCTCCAGCCTTTTGGTTAGCAGCCAAGCATGTTAACTCTCTGCACTAGGGTTAACCCTGCTGCATTAGGGAAGGTAAATGCCCTGAATGCAGGACAGATGGGCAGAGAGGATGTTTCTAGACAGGGTTCTCAAGGGTCTCCAGAAGGGAAAGTGTGATGCTTAACACCATGCTCAGGGACAGACTCACTTAGACAGGAGAAAACTAGTAGCAAGCTTTATCACACCTCTTGCAACTGAACTGCCTCCCAAAGGCTGCCTCCCAATGAAGTACAAACGTGGGGAGTGGAGAGAAAAGGGACGTTGTGTTGTTTTCTCTGGTGCTGTGGGCCCGGGTGATTGGCAGCTGTCTCCAGAGTCACTGCCTGTCTTCCCCCAGGAAACAGAAGAGCAACTTGGGCCTCCCCTGTCTCCTGTCTGAGCCAAGTTGCCTCAGGGGACAGCCAGTGTGCAGGTAGCTTAGCAGTTAGTCTTGCTGTTAATTTTATTTTTATTTGGTTATTTTTACACTGAAAAGATAAGCCAGGGTTGAATTTGGAGGTGTTCTCATTCATTTATTTATTTTTATTACTTGCAAGGAAGGAGCAGCTTCTCTCTCTCTCTCTGTGTGTGTGTGTGTGTGTGTGTGTGTGTGTGTTGAGTGACTCAATTCTGACTCATAGTGACCCTATAGGACAGAGTAGAACTGCACCATAGGGTTTCAAAGAAGTGACTGGTGGATTAAAACTGCTGACCTTTTGGTTAGCAACTGAGCTCTTAGCCACTAGGGGATTGGTTTAAATACCCAGGTGGCAGGAGCCTACTCAATCTCTGTCTCTGGGAATCCTTTTCTTACTCAGGGCAAATGTGGCAGGGGTGGGGTCTGATAAAATAGCACCAAGAAGTTCAGAGGCCTTAAATCCCGGAGCATTAAAACCAGGATTAATTGTGTTCTCCCTTTGGATCAAATTTTCCTCAGGTAAAAGCGAGCCCAGCAGCCTTTACGAACAAATCCATTCTCCCGTCCCTCAACACGAATGTCACAATTGCACCAGGGGTGTTTTACCTTGCCCTAACATGGAACGTCCTCTCAGTGGGGTTGATTTTTCCCCAGGTGGATAATGGGTTGGGGAAGCCAGAGCCTGGACAAAATCCAGGAAGCGCTGGGAACGCTACACTTGGTGGGAAACGGGGGTCTAGATTTGTCTTTGCCACTGTCGTCTCAGCCAGGGAAGGGGGTCAGGCCCACGGGAGTCTGGGCATACTCAGCCTTGTGGGCGTGGTTCTCCCTGCCCCACCATCACTCAGCACGTTTCTTGCTCACAGGAAAGCCACGTGATGGGTAGCATGGACAAACTGACTCGAATGCTAGACTACCTGCACGAGGAGGTGAGGCTCGAAGCTTCCACAGTTCTGTGGCACCAAAAACCTGGGGCCTTTGCAGCTAGGAGAAAGTGGCCCTTCCAAGGGTGGGAGGGCGAGTTCTGGGTTTTCTTCTTGAATGGCCTCCCGCAGGACAGGGGAAATGAACTCCTTCAAGGGAGATCTGTCCCTAGAGAAACAGAAAGCTCTGGAGAGGCCAGTCTTTTCACCCTTTTAAATGAAAACACGGGTCAGGCATAGAGCTTTCCACTCTTGCAAGGGATATTTCTGAAAGAGACTTCTGAGGAGGAAGAGAAATAAAGCGTGGTTCTTCACCAAGGACTTGGTAGACCTGCTCTTTCCTGAGGCCTCTCTGACTGAACCTGGGGTGATTACAGCCTGGAGGGTGCCTGAGAGCCTTCAAGGCTTCCCTTTTGGAGTGACCATGATGAATACTGAAGGTTCTGGGGATCCAAGGAGAACTCTATGGCTTTCACTTTCCCATCTTCCCCCGCGGGAGAAAGATCTGCAGATCTTGCCACTGTGGGCTTCCTCCCTGTTGGCACCATGGTGGGGAGGTGCCCTGCCTCCATGAGGGAGGGTGAGTGATGCCTTTCTGGAATGGCATGGCTGGAAACTTTGGATGGAGCCCAACTGAACACCTCCCAAACGAGCTTGCCTGTTTAACAAAGGAGAGGCCTATCACGCTTGACCAGAGCCCAGACTGGGCTCCAACCAGGGCTTCTGGAGAGGCCTCTGGGCAGTAATGGTGACTTGGCAAATGCTCACCTTCTTCTTTCTCATGTCCTGCTAGGTCCCCAAAGCATTTGTGAACCTGGTGGATCTCTCTGAAGCTATGGAAGTCTCTCGCTGGCATCAGGACACTCAGCTCAGGTAGACAGGGAATGGAATGCAACCAACATCTGTTGAGTGGCCATCATATGCCAGGCACTGAGCAGGGCACTTGTGTACATTAATCCTATGAGGGAATTTAAACAAGTGGAAGTTGAGAGAGGTTAGCAATGTGTGTAGACCACAGAGCTAGTCAGTGGCAGAGTCAGGATGGAAGGAGGGGAAGTCCCCTGCTGAGTATGTTTTGGCGACTGAGTTTAAAGAATGGAATCTTTGGCCTGGCTAATGTAGTGCCAGATGACCTACCCCTGCCAGAATGATTTGAGACTTAAACAATGAGTTTGGCAAATCATCTCTAGACCAAGAATCATTTATTCTGGAAAGTGGAAAGAAAACAATTTAGCCTAAATGTATTTCACCTTCACAGAGCATGATTCCCATACATTTCTACAAATTTTCATAGAATTTAAGTTCTTTGGACCCAAACCTTACAATTTCTGGTTCTGCACCTAGAAAAGACGTTCACATGGTAAAAGTCAGGGCAGAGGCCACTAGAGATGATGGCGACAGGAAGAAGGAGAGAAAGACAGTACTAAGCAGGAAAGGAGGCGTTTGACGAGGGAGGAAGGTGAAAGGAATACAGAGTAGGTGAAGGAAAGATAGGGTGTGAGTTTCAAGAGTGAGGAGCAAATGAGGGGAGGGGTATACCAGGAGATGGAGTACATCTCCACATCCCACCCCCATGGGAGGGGTGGGTGGGGAATAAGGGCTCCACAATGTACCTTCCCACTCTATACTTTATTCTCCTCAACATTTGATTCCTTCCTTCTCATGCCCCCTCTAAGACTTCTAAGTTCTTCTTCCCCACTCCCTAAGCAACTCCCAGGTCCCATCCCTTCTTCCTCCCTCAGGGTGTAGATGGATGGCACCCCGGCACTGCACTCAGCTCTCTGATTTCCTCTTGTTCTACCTGCAGCCCCACAGCAGAGCCCTGCAGATGCTTAGTGGAGACTTCAGAGCTGTCCAGGGTTGTGATGCAGTGGTCCTATCAGGTGAGCCCACCTGGGGAGACTGGGCTGCTGGCTCACAGGGGGCAGGGTGGCCATGGAGGAGAACAGAATTAGGGTACAGCTCAACCAATGCTAAGTTTGCTAATGTAGGACTGCTTCAACTGGATTTGGGACTGAGTTAGGAACCAAAGAGAGCTTCCTAATGACCGTTCAATAATCCTACTATGGGACAGGGCAGAGTGACGAGGGAGGGGTGCTTCAGATAAAATGTAGTGAAGAACTCTGCAGATTCATTCAGAAAGGCTCCTGGTAATCATTGCTGTGTATCCTGCTCTGTCTGTGGCCAGTGAGCTGGTTTTGCCCAGACTGTGCCTGCACCCTAGACCACAGCCCAAGGGGAGAGTCAGGGCTTTCTAGTTTCCAGAAGAGACCCCAGGAGAGTGTGATGGCTCATGAAAACCATCGTCACAAACAGCTCAAAGCACAATTCCTACTGCCATGTTTAACACGATGGTTTTGTTTAAGAAGAAAGTTATATTTGAAGTTGTGAGGTGCTTCTCTCACTCCGGAAATGACCACATTATTTTACATGGATAATGGCACATCCCTCTACAGAACTTAGCCCTTGAGGAGATGGTGGGGTCCCTAGCCAAATGCTGGCCAGGCTTATATTTCCTGAGCTTCCAGATAACATATTTCACGTCTACCTCTGATATGACTGCTAGGGCTTCAGAAGAGAAAAAACCCCAACTTAGTTCCTCAGACAGCCAGGAAGTGTGAGACAAGAGGGACCTTCAGAATTGGTCAAGGGTGGGCCAGGCTCTGCCTTGCTCATGCTTCTGACTGTTTGCCTCTCTGCTCCCCTCCTTCAGGAAACCTGGGAGAAGCTCCTGGCCTCCAGCAAGTACAACGAGCGGGAGTCCTTCACGGTTGTATTCCAGCCTCTCTTGTCTGAGACAGCCCTGTCGCCCGTCTTGGTGAGTGAGGGCTACAGGTGAGGCACACAGGCACAGATCGAGGAGGGTCCTTTGGCCATAGGTCTGCTCCCTGCTCCCCCCTGCCCCTCACCTCTGCAGAAGCCCCAACTCAGTCAGCTTCACTGAACCCAGGAGACATTGTCTCAGAGGAAATGCTATGATATTCTTATACTTTCTTGTGTTAGTCCCTACAGGGTTGGATAGCCCCCAGAGGCAGATTCTTAGAAGCAGGGCAGCCCAGAGCTCAAGAGCATGGGCTCTTCAGATTCATAACTTCTAATCCTGGCTTTGGAATGGGCCAGCTGTGTGACCTTGGGCAAGTTGTTTGAACTCTCTGTGCCTCGGTTCCTCATCTGTAAAATCAGGATTGTTATTAATACTCTTACCTCTAGGGTGGTTGTAAGGGTCACATAAAGTGATACATACACAGAACTGGGGCCAGCCCTGGCACTTGGGAAGCACTCGATACCTCTTAGCTATAATGTAATCACTCAGGGCAGGATTTCCGGGAGCACCAGTCATGCTCCCTGCTCTGCACTCTCTGCTACACCCATCCCTGCAAGGTACAGCAGATTTGAGTGGGCCCCTGGGTCACTAGGCAAACCCAGACCACGTAGCACCGGGGGTGGGTGCACGGGTGAAGCCGTGGAGCCTCCAGAGCCTGACTCCTGCCTGTTGGAGTCACCGCGCCCCCTCCAGGACTAGGATATTTAAAGTAATTCTTTAAGAGGAGGAGGAGGAACATTAGCTTCCCATCCCCTCCATTCCCCTCCTGCTCAGACCATGCCTGAACCACTTCCCTGTGATTGGCTCCTTCTGTTCAGTTCAGTATAAGCCCATGAACACAGAGCAATCAGAGGCTTGACTTGCTCCTGTAGGCCCCTTATCTCTGAGCCCTGACCCTAGATGGCAATCCTATAAACACTTAGAGTTGTTGATGGGGGCACTGAGGGGAGAGTATGGAAGGTTCAGGGACCGCCATCTCCACGCCAGGGAAAAGTGTGTGTTGGAGGCAGGCCTATCACATCTACTTCTGGGGCACAGAGGGGTTCCTTTCTTACTTGGTTCTCTTTCAGGGAGAACCATCACTCCAGGATCCCACCGCACTTGCCTTGAATCTCTGGAACAGCATGGTGAGTGAGCCCAAGGCGGTGAGTTGGGATATGGGCCTCCAGGAGGAGGGGCAGGGTCTCCACTGCCACTCCCACTGTGCCCACTGCTCTGATGAGAGGGGCTGCAGGACGCCCACGGGGTCCAGAAACCATGTGTCTGGGCCACTAATGAACTTTCTCACACCTTAGGAATGGCCAGCTCTGACCACTGGGGGTTTGACCTCCTCATCCTAGAGGCTGGGCCACAGCCTGCTGGGGAGGCAGCTCTCAGTGGGGCCTCAGGCCTACTCTTTCCAGGGGCGGTGCAGTTTCCTCAGTCTGTGTTGAAGTCTTCACTTGGGTGGGGAGTGAGCTCACATACCAACTCCTGTCCAGCTTTCCTTCATTTTACATTTGTATGGCATCCACAGTTTTAAAAGCCCAGGGCAGTGCCTGGGACAAGCATGGACTTTAGAGTCATGAAGACCTGGGTTCAAATCCTGGCTTCACTCCTCATAAGTGGTGTGACTTCAGGGCCTTTCTGCAAAACCTAAATCATAATCCCTGGCACAACACATGTCAAGTACGTAGCATGGTCCTGGCCCATAGTAAACACTCAGTGTGAGTTGGCCCTTTTTACCAGATCTATGACAGACTTTCCCAGGCTCCAAAGGTCCCCTAGAGCCATCTGGAATGAGTCAGTAACCAGAATGCAAAGTCAAAGGCTCTCCCTTATTGCTTTAGCTTCTCCAGGGCACCAGAGACCTGATTTTCCCATTTATGTTTTCTCCGTCCAAGCTGTTAGAATTCCAGCGACAGAATTTTGTTTTTCTTCTTCTTTGGATTAGAAAGGTTTCTCTACATCTTCCCAGTTGTTGTGTCTGCTGGATACCATGAGCAGCTGCATTTCAGCTGTATTAACTAGTGCAAGACAGAGAGCGGGGAGTGGACAGGCAGGGAGCAGCCCCCAGCCATCCCACACTAATGGAAGCACGCTGTCTTTTGGAGCAGGCATATGATTTCTTTGAACAGGGACCCTTGTTAGTGGACCTGACCCTTAGGTAGGGTTCTCTTTCAGAACACCACCTTGCTGCTAGTCTCTTATGAGGGGCAAAGGAAGGAAACCAAGACTCCCAGTGGGGGCTGCCCTCCTTCCCCCCATCTCTGAGGAAGAAAAGTCCATTATTTCAGCTCAGCCAAACCTCTCTCTTCCTTTCTCCCAACCAATTAAAGGCCATATACCATGCACCCTGCCCTATGCTGGGTGCCAAGGAGGATACAACCAAACATGGCCTCTGCCCTCGATGAGCTTAAGGAATAGCTGGGAAGGGTCAGGAACCCAGAGGAACAAGAGTCAACAGGAACTCGGCCAGTAGTAGCATGCTGGGCTGTGCCAAACGTGATATGCATGATGTGGTCAGGGGAGCCCTGTGAAGGCAGGACTTGAATTAGCTTTGTAGGATGTGTCAGAGGGGGTAAGGGAAAGCATTCCCAGGTAAGAGGGTCTTTGTGAGCATGGAGAAAAGAATGCACCACATGCGTTAGGACGGGCAGTCAGGATTTGGTCTGATAGAGAGGAAATGCGGAGATAAAAGAGGCCCAGAGAATGAATGAAGTGCCTGGGACATTAGAGAGAAGCTGATGAAAGCAGATCCAGGTTGAGAGGGCTAGATTCCCTCCTCTCTTCCTCCTTTTATCTTGTTATTTATTGTCATTGGTGGCAGTGGCAGCAGTGATGATAATCACCATTTATTGAACCTCCTAGGTGTTGTCCCCTGTGCATGCAGATAGGTGCACAACATGCACAGTGTCTCACAACCTAGTTGAGGGATAGATGAGCAGGCACACAGAGAGGAATGCAGGTCTCACACTAATAACCAAAGGATTGGGGCACAGTAAGTGTCACAGGGGTTCAGAGGAGGAGGAGGCTTTCAAAGGTGGGATTTTACCCTTACTCTTTCCAATCTTGCTCAATTAGCTACAAGGTCCACAGTTTCCCAGTAAGAGTTCCTTAAGGCTCCCATATCCCAGGTCAGTGAGGAGGGAGGAAGTGAGATATGAGTTTCCCCAAGTATGCCTATTTCCTAGCTTCCCCATGGGTGAGATACGGAGCCATCCCACGGCTTGCACAGCAAGCACACCTTTTAGAACCAGTGCTTCAAACCAGTTCATTCTGGTTTGAACCAGTTTGAAGCCCTGTTTAGAACACACCTGCAACACCTGCAGGCATGAATAAATCCATAAGAAGTTAAGAATTTCACAAAAAAGACCAGACTTACTGGTCTGACAGAGACTGGAGGAACCCCTTAGACTATGGCCCCTGGACACCCGTCTAACTCAGAACTCAAGCCACTCCCAAAGTTCACCTTTCAGCCAAAGGTTAGATAGGCCTATAAAACAAACAATAACACACTTGAGGAACTTGCTTCTTAGATCAATTAACTATACAAGACCAAATAGGCAACCCCTGCCCAAAAGCAAAGACAAGAAGGCAGGAAGGGAACCGGACAAATGGAAATGGCAAGCCAGGGTGGAAAGGGGGAGAGTGCTGACACATTGTGAGGATTGCAACCAATGTCACAAAACAATTTATGCATAAATTTTTGAGTGAGAAACTAATGGGCTCTGTAAACTTTCACCTAAAGCACACACACACACAAAACCCAAACAATAGTTTAGCTTAACTAGTAAAGAACGTCTGCTTTGATGATTGTGCTTTTTTAAGAACTATCCATATGGGATCAAATTGACAATAGCAACTTGAAAGATTAGACAGGGGAGTGGAGCCAAGATGGCAGTCTCATCAGACATGCCAAGTCATCTTTCTGCAACAAAGACCTGAAAAACCAAGTAGAACAGACACAGGCATTAATCCTGGAACCCTGAACCTTAAATGAAGGGATAAAGTATTAGACTGGAAGCCACTGAGAAGAAATTGATTGGAAACAGCAAGCAAGTAGAGATACAGAGTGGAGGTTCCCTACCAACTGGCACGACACAGCATGGCCATCTTGGGATAAAGCCGAAAACCCCACATGGAGAGCACAGAAAGGCACCTTCATGGAATTCCCAATAGGAGATAGAGGAATGGTGCAGACACACCCAGAGTAAAGTAAGACCCCATTTGCTGGCTGCTGCTCAAGGAATTGCCCAGACACTCTCATACAGTAACCAGAGGAGCACACTTCTACAATCACCACCCTTCTGGTGAATAGCAACAGAAACCACCCTATCTTGGCTGCCCTGACTGCTGGGGACCACAGTAGGAACACCCCTATTCCCCTCCTCCATCTAGCCCCATCTGCCCCTCCCTTCTCCCCCCTCTGCCCGCCTCTCCCCTCTGCCCTGCCATGCCACAGCCCTGAGTAGAACCAGCCCCTTGCCATCTCCTTCCCCACTGGTTCTGCCTCACCACACCATGGCCCTGAGTGGAACTGGCCCTACACAATCTCCCTCCCCATTGGCACCCCCCCCCAACACTGTGGCCTTGAGCTGAACTGGCCCTGTGCCACCTCCCTCCCTGCCAGCTCTGCCCTGCTGCACCACTGACAAAGGACCTGACCCATGCACCCCTACTGGACCTGCCTCACTGCATCATAGCTGAGCCACCAGCCCTGCTTATCCAGACAAGGTGTTTAAAATTTCATGCCCATAGACAAGAAAGCAACAAAGCATGCCTCGCATGCCTGCCCAGACATATCAAAACAAAAAAGCAAAACAAAACAAACTTACAATCAATAAATAAAGAAAATAATACTTGAATGTCTCAGAAACAGCAGACAATATCAAAACATATAAAAAAGCAGGACAAGATGGCTCCAGCAAGTTACTGAAATAAAGAATCAAATGACCTTCAGTAGAAGAAAAGGCAGTGGAACTACCTGACGTGGAATTCAAAAGACTAATGATTGGGACTTGCCAAGAGATTAGGAAAGAGATTAAGGAACACACACACAAAACTAAGGAAAAAATAGACAAAATAATGGAAAACAGAGACAAAACCAACCAAAACATAGCCAAAATAAAAGCAAACACAGACAAAGCAATAGAAGAATTCAGGAAAATAATACAAGAACAAAACATTAAAATAAATAAACAGAAATCATACAGAAAACAGCAATTAGAAATCCAAAAGATAAACAACAAAATTTTAGAAAAGGACACCTCAATAGGAAGTTTTAGGGGCAAATTTGAAAAATGGAAGACAGAATCAGCAAAATTGAAGACAAATCCATTGATGCTACTTTGAGAAAAAATCAGAGAAAAGAATAAAGAAAACCTAAGAATTAAGTGGGAAACAATCAAGAGCAAAAATGTGCCAGTCATCAGACTTCCAGAACAGGGGGAGAAAATGGAAAACAAAGAGAGGATTGTTAAAGATTTGCTGGCAGAAATCTTCCCTAATATTATGAAAGACAAAAAGCTGACCATTCAAGAAACTCAAAACACCCTGTATAGGATAGACCCCAAAAGAAAGTCATCAAGACTTATCATAATCATACTCACCAAAATCAAAGAACAGGAATCCAGAGAACAGCTCAAGAAAAATGAAAAGTCACTTACAAAGGGGAAAAAATAAGACTAAGCTCTGATTACTTGGCAGAAACTATGCAGGCAAGAAGGCAAGGGGATGATATATGTAAAAATTTGAAAGAAAAAAATTGCCAACCAAGAATAATATATCCTGCAAAACTCTCTCTCAAATATGATGGTTAAATTAGGAGATTTCCAGATAAACAGAAATTAAGGGAATTTGTAAAAACCAAACCAAATTTATGAGATATGTTAAAGGGAGTCCTTGAGTTAGAGAACCAGAAATATCAGACAACAACGTGAATCCAAGACACAGGACAGCATCAGCCAGATAAGAACCTAGGTAATGAACTCTCAATGATAAAACAAAACCAGAAGATTTAAAATAAGGAATCAGAGACATCAATCTGTAAATGATGAAATCAAAATGATAAAAGATGGTATAAACAATGTATGCATGGAACTTTCAAATGGAGAGGAAGTCAAGGTGATATCAAGTAATAAAAGACTGGTTCAAACTTAGGAAGATAAGGGTACATTTCAAATTAACTGCAAAGAAAGTTAACAAACCTATTCATCAAAATAAAAAAAGAAAAACATAAAGACTCAATAAACACAAAATCTGTAATACTGAAAGAAATTCACAAACAAAAGGAACTCAGCACAGGAAAGTAAGAGAAAATGTCTGCACCACAGAAAAAAGCACAACAAAATGACCGCAATAAACTCACAGCTATTGATAATCACACTGAATGTAAATGGTATAAATACACCTGTAAAGAGAACAAGAGTGACAGAATGGATAAAAAAACAGGACCCATCAATATGCTGTCTGCAAGAGACACACCTTAGACACAAAGACAAAAATTTATTAAAAATCAAAGGATGGAAAAAATATATCAAGCAAACAGCAATTAAAAAAGAGCAGAAGTGGCAATACTAGCCTCATATAAAATAGAATTTAAGGCAAAATCAATCATAAAATACAAGAAAGGATATTATATGAGAATTAAAGGGACAAAAGGGTTTAAAGTCAGGAAAAGTGTGCATCGGGGTTGTATCCTTTCACCATACCTATTCAATCTGTATGCTGAGCAAATAATCCAAGAAGCTGGACTCTATGAAGAATGGGGCATCAAGATTGGAGGAAGATGCATTAACAACCTGCGTTATGCAGATGACACAACTTTGCTTACTGAAAGTGAAGAGGACTTGAAGCACTTACTGATGAAGATCAAAGACTACAGCCTTCAGTATGGATTACACCTCAACATATAGAAAACAAAAATCCTCACAACTGAACCAACAAACAACATCATGATAAACAGAGAAAAGATTGAAGTTGTTAAGGATTTCATTTTACTTGGGTCCACAGTCAACACCCATGGAAGCAGCAGTCAAGAAATCAAAAGATGCATTGCACTGGGCCAATCTGCTGCAAAAGACCTCTTTAAAGTGTTGAAAAGCAAAGATGTCACCTTGAAGACTAAGGTGCACCTGACCCAAGCCATGGTATTTTCGGTCACTTCAAATGCATACAAAAGCTGAACGATGAATAAGGAAGACCAAAGAAGAATTGACGCCCTTCAATTGTGGTGTTGGAGAGGAATATTGAATACACCATGGACTGCCAAAAGAACGAGCAAGCCTGTCTTGAAAGAAGTATAACTGGAATGCTCCTTAGAAGCAAGGATGGTGAGACTACATCTCACATATTTTGGACATGTTATCAGGAGGGATCAGTCCCTGAAGAAGGACATCATGCTTGGTAAAGTAGAGGGTCAGCGAAAAAGAGGACGACCCTCAAGGAGATGACTGTCTTCCTGACACAGTGGCTGCAACAATGGGCTCAAGTGTAACAATGATTGTGAGGAAGGTGCAGGACCAGGAGCTGTTTCATTGTGTTGTAGATAGGGTCACTATGAGTCAGAACAACTCGAGGGCACCTAACAACACATGTTAATGAGCCCGGACTCAATCTACAGGGTTATTAGGTTGTATCTTGAATAAATCTCTTTTGAGATATAAAAGAGAAACTTGAGCAGAGAAGAGAGGGACCAAGAAAGAAGAGCTGGAAAAGATAAGGGTAATCTGTGTTCAGCAAGGCTTCCAGGTGATTCTGATGCAGGCTCATGTTGGATAACCACCATATGAGAGCAATCACTGATCCTTTGGCTCCAGGATCCCTGCTGAGAAACTCCTAGACTCAAGGGAATATTGATGACAAGGACATTCACCTAGAGCCGACAGAGAGAGAAAGGCTTCCTCTGGAGCTGGCGCCCTGAATTCAGACTTCTAGCCTTCTAAACTGAGAGAGAATAAATTTCTGTTTGTTAAAGCCATCCACTTGTGGTATTTCTGTTATAGAAGCACTAGATAACTAAGACAGGTTGCCATTCCTTTTCCAAAAGGTTAAGCTAATTACACCCTCTTATCTGACTTTCCTTTCATTTGGGTTAACAACTAATCTCATGAAGGGTAAAGTTCTTTCCTTGTCTTCTTGTTTACTGGGGCACAGATACTGGAATAAGATATTGCTGAAGAATCTGAAATCCTCATGGAGGATGGCAGAGTCAGTGACTGAGCCCCATCCTGTAGCTTCCTGCTTCTGTGTCCCCTGTCAGTGTCCTTGGAAGGTGAGGTGAGGGACAAAGATGCCATCTGAGCACAGTGCTTGTGAGCAGCTGGGCTGACAGCAGACCATGAGGGTCCCACGCAGTACATAATAGCACTTGAAAAAGAAAATATATAGTCTCTCAAAGCCGTTGTCTTTTAAAAAATGTTTATATATTTATAATGAACATTTAAAAATAACAAAAAGATCCCTCCCACATCTAATTCTTCAACCCTTTTATGTAAGCTTATAATCTGCTAGTTTCCCCTGCTGGCATACCATAAACTTTTTTTCTACGTTGTTAAAGTTGTTAATAGCCTTCATGGTTATCATTTAAGTAGCTGCCTATATCAGAGCTGATACCACTATCCTCATTCCTGAATCGCTACCATTCTAGTTGTTGGGGAGTGTGTGGGCTGTGCTGGGTTCCATGTCACTGTACCTCTGTGTCCTAAGTAAGGACAGGCTGTGGGGACCAGACCCAGGACCCATAACTTGCTTCACTCACAGCTTGTGTAAGCAGTTCTCAGGTGATAGGGTTTCCATTGTCTACTAGACTCAGACGTGTGTACACAAGGAAGGGAGCCCTGGGGAAAGAGCCACATGCTTTCCATGACTTCCCATACCTACTCTCCTCTCCTAGGGAACTGCGACTACTGAACTGGCCAGAAGATGGGCAACAGGGAGAAGAGGAGGACCCAAGCAGGATAGTTAGCCTGGAATCTCAGAAAGCTGCATGACCACTTAGAGACACTTTGTTTGATACAGAACACCAGTGTCCTAGTTCCAGCTCTGCCCCGGCTAACTGGGCCCCATCTTGACCTCGCTAATGCTCAGTTTCCTCTCCTGTAGTATCTTGATGGGTAGACTAAGAAGTCCCTTCACAGTCTAAAAATCAGTGATTGTTCTCATATGGTGGTTATCCAACATGAGCCTGCATCAGAATCACCTGGAAGACTTGCTAAACATAGATTGCTGGGCCCCACCTCCAGAGTTTCTGGAGATTCCACAGGCCTGGGGCAGGGCCTAGAAACTTGCATTTCTAATTAGTTCCCAGGTGCTGATGCTGCTGGTCCAGGAATCAAACTGATAACCAGTGGTCTAGAGTCTTGCTCAATGGTACCCTGGAATGCTGCTACCTATACAACACTTTTCTCTTCTAAGGATGTCTCATCACCTTCTTTTCTAGATGGAGCCAGCAGGACAGAAGGATGAGCCATTCAGTGCAGAAGAGAGGAGGCCAATGAAATGTCCCAGTCAGGTGGGCAGGGACTGGGCAGGGAGGCCATCTCAAACTGAATTGGGCCCGGGGGAGAGATAGGGTTACCAAGTGGGGCTTTGCTGTGAAGTGAGGGGTCTTACCTGGCTGGGACATCAGGCCCATTGGAGTCTTGGGCCTGTTCTTCCAGGTCTGGGCATGGCTTTGCTCTCTTGGGTTATACTTCTGGGCCACAAGAGCAGTTTTAGTAGAACTGAAGCCCCCTCCACACCTGGAGTGGGGAGGTTATAGAAACAAAGCCATAGCTCACCAGGACCCAAATGCTGCACCCCCATCTTCTCTACGTCCCGAGACCCTGTCCCAGATGTCTTTTCCAGACCTTCCTCTATCTTTGTGTGGAGAAGGAGGCAGGGTGTCTGAGTATCTAAGTAGTCTTAAAGATGGGTCATTTTGCTGAGTCTTAAATAACTGTAGTATGTAGTATGTATATAATCAATGTTTCTCAATAAACAGATGAGAAAATCAAACAGAAACCCATGGCCATCGAGTCAATTCTGACTCATAACGACCCTACAGGACAGAGTAAAATTGTCCTAACTGGACATAAATGAATACAATTCCTTTCATCATTTAGTGCTAGTGAAAATCTTAGCTTTCGTGTTGAATTGGTGTTTTTTGCTACTAGACAACAAGAACAATATAATTTGTCCTGTTTCCCTCTTTGCTTTGGCTGCCAAGGAGCTTAAAATTAAGTGCTCTGCTCACTGAAATATATATACTTAGCCAGGTGCGTGAACCTCCAGGATAGCAAGAGATAACTATTGCAAAGGGGACATTTCGAAGCACTAATGAGCCCCTTCAGGGAAGAGATGGGCAGCACAGAGAAGAAGAGCCAGAGAATGGTCTGGTCATCATTTAAAGTATGATATGATTGTTCCAAACTGGCCAGGGGTATTGCGAGATAATAAAGCCTGATAATTAAGGGATACATTACCTTCTTCTGCAGGAAGAGCCCTATCTGTTTACCTACACGAATAGCAACTACCTGCCCAGCTCATCAAAACCCCAAAAGATGCCTGAGGTATGGAAAGACTTTCTGTAATTAACAAACATGCAAATGAACTATGGGCTGTGTGCCTTGTGAGTCTTTGGAACCTTCCCACGTTGTTTCTTATGTCCTGGAATCTCACTGTCTCTGGGGTTGCTGTAGGCTGCAGAGGTAATGGCGGCTATGACGAATATCTGAAATCCAGGCTGGGGAAGGGTGGAGGATCACGTGTGTGCCTGTCCTCTGGTACCTTGAAGCAGGTCTACCCTAAAGGTCTTATCTTTAGAACAGCCTTACAACAACATCCTGTGGCTTCAGAGGGCATGTTGGGGTTGCTCAGCACTGCCTGCTCCCTGTCTGTTGTGATGTCGGACACCAGACCCTTCCCAGATCTCTGTCAGATCCTTTTAATCTCATTGGAGGCATTAATCCGAAGAGAAGTTTAAGAAAAGGCAGAGCAATGTGGGGAAGTCTGAAACCAGAAGGTACAGAGACAAAAAGTCCTCAGCAGTTGGTCCACCCCCATAGGAGCACTTCACACTTACTCACATCTTGCTTGTTGCTTATCTCATGAGCATCTTTCAGATACTTCCTGTCAATATCAGATAGGGCACCCTGGGCTCCTCTGAGAAATGGAGGAATGCCTGAAGGTGGATGTCTTTGTTCTCAGAGAATTGGGCACCCACATGGGTCAAGACAAACTCAGTCCTGGTGATGTCCCTGCCTCCCTGTTGTGTATAAGAGGGTAGGATTTACTCTAAGTGGTGGACACAGAGTTGATGGCCTGAGCCTCCACTATGAAGCCAAAGAGATACTGTGTGGAAGACTCTTGATCCATAAACTTGCCCCACACTTTCTAACAATATCATAACAATGAGGATACATCTGAGAGGTAGTAAGACACAGTGAGTTAAGAGAACTGGCAAGGTATTTAGCCTTCCTGAGCCTTGGTTTTTTTCCTCTGGGAAATGGTGATAGTAATAGGCCTACCTCATATTAAATTGGAATAAGTTAATACGTATTAAGCACTGAGAATAATATCTGGCATACCATATATTAGTGTTGCTATTATTGTCATCTAATAAGAGGAAGCAATACATTCCTTCAGGATATATTTATTGAATGCCTACTATGTACCACTAGAATACAAGCTCAGTGAAAGTAGGGACTCAGAGTAGGAACCTAATAACTATTGGATGGATGGATGGATGATTACCAGGCATAGGAGATAAAAACATAAATAAAATATTTTCCTTGTCCTAAGGAACACAGTATGGTAGAGAAATATATAAGTTAACCAGCATTGCAACACAATGTAATAAGTACCATAATTAAAATTTTATGGGATATTCTGGGAAGCAGAGGAAAAGAAACTAACTCAGACAAGAGAAAGTTGAAGAAGGCTTCCCAAAAAGTACTCATGACCTCAGCCTTGAAGGATGACTAAGCTTGAGCCAGGTGGACAGGAGTGTAAGAAAATTGAAAGTAGCGCTAACTGCTTGGGCAAAGGCATGGAGGTGTGGGACAGCACAGTGAGTTTGATCAGGGGCTGGTAGCTTAAAATGTCTGGAGGCCTCTTCGGGCATGCTAGGGAGAATGCACTGATGTTAACACGGAGTAGTAATTTATTTTTTCAACCAACAAATACTTATTGAGCATCTACTGTGTGCCAGGCAATGTTCTAGGCTCTGGGAATACAACAATGAAGGAAACAAACAAAATTCCCTGCCCTCACTGAGAATGTGGACAAGGGAGTGACATATTTATGTTGATTTTAAAAAAGTCACTCTGAATGAATTCAGAGGGGCAGGGAGGAAGTACACGGGACTGACGGTGATCCTGGTGAATACTGCAGCATTCCAGGCGAGAAATAGCAAAGGCCTAAAGTTAGGCTGAGGTCAAGGGACTGGAGAGGAGGAGACGGGCTAACAAAGGACATTGTGGACAAGTGGACGTGAATGTTGAAGGAGACAGAGAAATCGAAAAAGATAGGTTTTTATCTTACCTTAGGTGATATTTTCCAAAATAGAGGCCCTACATCTCACCCAATTTCCTAGACTGCTAGCTCCATTTCATGCTGCCATCATGAATTTCATGGAAATTCATGTTATTTCTGTGTGTGTCTCATTGCAGGTGAGAGAAGGAACGGAAGTCAGATGTCCTGACAAGGATCCATCCGACTCGATTCCTTCCTCAGGTACACAGCTTGAGCTGAGTGATTTTTAAACTCATTTGAGGTCTGAAGTCATCAAAGTAAGAGCCACTGTAATATGACAAGGACTTTCCACATGATCTGAAATACTCCTGAGAGGTTTTATAGGAACAACAGGAATAGCTTTGTATGTATACTTGTCAGTTCATGCCTGTGTTTGAGTTATTCTTTAACTAAAATATGATAGCAGCATCACTATCAGAAAGCATTTATCGAGCACTAACCACTTGCCAGGCCATGTTCTACAAAGAGACCAATTTAGTTGAGTGAGTTGATGTCACTATCCCTGCCTTTAAGCCTTGAGAAGGATAATTTGTTCTCCAATAAGCAAAACTGCCTTTCAGCAGAAAACAAAAATAGGCAGTCTGCAATCCCTGACAGCCTCATTTGCAGAATGCACTCAAACACCACACAGATCAGGAAAACACATTCTATTATAAACATGCCATCTTCACTGCCTCTCAGGGTTTCTAAAACGAGCAATGTGGGCACTGATCGGGACTCGTGTCTTGTTTTAGGCAGAGGTCAGCAACTTTCCCAAGAGGAGCTGCTGAAGGGCTAAGCCTTTCTGAACCAGCATTGGGAGCCATGGCTATGTGCAAGGTCACACAGGGCATGCGACCATGGGGAGTCACGGGAAGGCTACATGGTGACCCACATGACTCAAAAACCAGTCCAAGGACTTTTTTTACAATGGTGCTACAGGTTGCCATGCTTAGTCGTGGAGGGTGACTCATTTGTCCATTCATTTATTAGATAATCATTCAGTTTCTCCTACGTGCCTTCAGGAGTTTATAATCTAGTTGATCTATTGCTCTCATAGAAATTAAGTTTAGTGATGTCACAGTGAGTAGGAGGAATCTTTCAGGGATGGGACCTGTCTAGCCAGATTGTCTGAGGACAATATTTCCTTTTTCTTATGCTGAATATTAGTAGAGCAATAAATGCCTGGCTCAGCCTTTCCTTCCCATCTTTACACACTCAACTTAAGTCAAATGACTGGGAGGTAAGTTAAAAATCTTCTCGCCAAAACTTTGGTATATAACTGACTCTTGTTCTAAGTTGCAGAATAATGGAATAAGTTATATAGATCTTATACTACATACATATCTATAATCAAAAAAACAAAAAACAAAAAAAAAAAAACAACAACCAAACCTGTTGCCGTCAGGTCGATTCCAACTCACAGCAACCCTGTAGGACAGAGTAGAACTGCCCCATAGGTTTCCAAGAACTTTAGCAGCAGAAATAAATTATCAGCTTCATATCTAGGTCCTCCTATAACAAAACCCCTTACTCAAAGTTATATACAAAGCATCTGAGTGTTTTAATAGCCATATTCTTTACAATGAAATAAAAGCCATCCTCTTTTTAATCTTATCACTCTGAAACGATGATCTGTAAAGCATTTTGCAATCTTTGCAGATTATGTTGCTACTACGGCAGTGATAACCAACCAGTCCATTATAGCATATCTCAACACTTAAAAGCCAGATAAAATATGAAATTCTTCCAGCCAGATACCAATCTAGGAAATGAACTCTCAAGGACTATCCAAAACCAAAAGAAATACAACAGAAAATCAGAGCAGTTAATCAGTAAATGACAACAACATCAAAACAATAAAAGAGGGAATAAACGGCATAGGTATAGAACCTTCTAATGGAGAGGA